GCTAAATTAGGGACAGCTAGCGCAGATAGCCCTCGTGTAGCTTTGCGCGAAATTCAAAAACAAAACAAAACAAAAAATTGGAAATTCTAGAGAATGATTTTTTTTAAATTTCAAACATTGTAATGAGACTATCTTTGTACATGGATTGTAAGTAGACTTGCTAACACAGTTATGAAACTTAAAAAAAAGGAAGAGATGTCAGTTAACTAACTACCAATTATTAAGCCAGAGCACCATGGCCAATTGTGTTTCCACCTCACCCCAAAAAAATTGATAATTATGCACCCCTTCTGTATAATTTGGTTTTAGAAAGATTGCTATTTTAAGTTGACTGAGGAAGTACAAACGTAGATAGTGTAATTTTTATGCTCTTTTATATTCAGTATTACAACGTTTTAAATACTGAAAATAATTCACAAATTCAGAACACTATATTGAACTGCCTCAACAGTCAACACCCAAATTTCCCCTCCTACTTTTATATGTTGAAAAACTGTTATGTCAATGAAAATCTTTAAAGTATATTACTATTGCATTGTCTCATTATGCCTATGAATTAAAAAAGAACTTATTTACATGGTTCGTAACTAGTACTAATTATAATTTAAACATACATTATTACTGCTGTTGTTTAAACTGCACCTTACTTTAATGGCTAAGTATTTAAGTTTCAGTATTTATGTCAATAAAAAGTTAAATCTGTTTTTATCCCTGTCCATTTAAAAAAAATCAGTGCTGATTATTATCTATTATTGACATAACCTTTTAATTGGCATTGTGGCTCATTACTATTTAGTTGACAATTAATTGGTATTATGGCTGATTACCAGTTGTTAATTGGTATTGTGGCTGGTGAACAATTGTTGATTAATTGACTTTGTGGCTGATTACCAGTTGTTAATTGGTATTGTGGCTGATGAACAATTGGTGATTAATTGACTTTGTGGCTGATTACCAGTTATGAATTGGTATTGTGGCTGGTGAACAGTTGTTGATTAATTGACTTTGTTGCTGATTACCAGTTGTTAATTGCTATTGTGGCTGGTGAACAGTTGTTGATTAATTGACTTTGTGGCTGATTACCAGTTGTGAATTGGTATTGTGGCTGGTGAACAGTTGTTGATTAATTGACTTTGTGGCTGATTACCAGTTAGTTGCTAATTAATTGGTATTGTGGCTGATTACCAGTTAGCTGCTGATTAATTGGTATGTGACTGATTATCAAGTATTGATTAACTTGCATATCTAATACATTGTACAAATTTCAGTAATTTAGTATTATACTAAATCAGGCTATAAAATCTGATGAGTAATAATGTTATATACTGACAGTTTGAAATGCAATTTTCCACTGCAGTTCTCAAACATTTTTCACAATTTTGAAAACAGTTGCTTTTAGGCAAGAGTTATTAACTTCAATAAGTTGCTTGAACTTTTGATTTGTACTCCCTAAGTTTATACACACACTTACACACTGCTGACTTTAATTTTAAACCACATTTCTTATGGTTAAACAAAAATATACTGTAAAAACAGCTTGTTTTACTTGGAAGTCACAAAGTGGGGTTCCTAGGGCTTAATTATACATTATGTGCTTATAAATATTTATTTTATGGATGTATGTCATTTAGACAATCTTCTATTCACTATATCTCCAATAATAGG